CCCTCCTTTCCTTTCCCCTGCTGCTGAATTCAGGGGGAATTGAAGAGGAATAGTGGCAGCAGTACAATGGTCAGCCTTCGCTTTCAGATCCCAGAAGCTATATGCAGCTGCCATCCCCTCCTTTCCCCTGCTGCTGAATTCAGGGTCCGAAGGAAGATCAAGCAATGGCAGGCTCCAAAGCCACTTGAAAGCAGAGACTCTGGGAAGATTCATAGAGTTCACACTACAAGCAGAGATTCAACCAGAAGCTTTGAAGACATGCTGGTGAGCGCAGAGATCACTGACAACTAGGATCACAGTGATGGGGCTGTGGTCAGACCACCATGTAGTGTGGTATGGGTTGTGTGGTTCATGGGGAATGAACTCTTCCACAGACCACACATCACACAGCCAAAGAGTGTGGCTGCACCCCCATCACCAGAATCTTGAATCGGCCCATGCATGGCTGATATCACCCACCGTTTACTCAGGATAACAGAATAAAACATGGCAGGGAAAGTAAAGTTTTACACAGAGGTGTGCATTGGTATTAGTTGTTGAGGCCAGTAACGAGGGATAATTTTGCTTTTTGTATACACAAACTATAGTGCATGGCCTACTATTAGATTTGGGACTTTTCAAAAGCTTTGAAAACCCCAACTTCATAATTACAAACTTAGTAATGAAAAAAGTAACCCTGTTGTTTTCAGTTTATGACAAGATTATGGGGACTCTTTAGGTATACCTTCACAACAGGAGAATAAATGAATTCTGTCAGCAAAACTGCTGTATACTGTACAGAGATCTGTTTCTATGGTCACAGCATGCCTCAGATCATTACACAATCTATAGGAGATTCTGGCAAGAAGATAGAGGCATTTCAGCAATATTACCTTAACTAGCAGCCAGTAGTGAAATGCAGAACGAAAGCATGCTTGGGTCACAACAAAGCATTGCATTGCACCCTAGCTTTAGCATCTTTTGTGAGTGTCTCCATATTAAAGATGAGGTCAGCTCAGCTACAACCTGTTCCCTTAAATACATTTAATGCAACTTGCATAGTTTGAAGCAAGAGAGTTACCAACGTACTCCTTTCGCAAGAGAAGTTGCCTGGATTTCAATGTATGCAGTATCTATCTGACTAGTTGCATTCCTCTAAGGCAGCTTTGTATTCTGTTCAAGATAATTATCACATCCCCAAATAAATAAAATGAATGATTATCATGTTGCAACATACCTGGATCAAAATTATCACCAAATATTCTTTTAGCTGGAATTTTAAGGTTCATAGTGGGAAATTGCTTCTTTAGCTATTGAAAAAAAACAACAAAAACAGACAGACAGACAGACAGACAAACAAACAAACGTTACCCAGACAGGCACTTTGGTTTTGCCTGGACAAGCAAATATCTAGCGTTATTACTTGTATCAAACATATTTTAGCTCTCTAGTTTTTGGAAAGTATGGGCCCTAGATTACTAGCATCTTATTTTGCTCCTCAAAACAATTTTTGCTCAGATTAGTGAATAGGGGATTGTAGAAGGAAAAAAGCTGTTCTTCATTTAAGTTATCCAAGCCCTATTTACCATGCAAGCAGGACTTAACATTTACCTACTTTTCATATTATTGCCATGATCGTCATACTGTTTCTTTTTACCCAGATTGCATATTTCTTTTTACTCAGCAGATAAATCAGTAGTTCTCAACGGTTTTAGATTCAAGGCACCCATCCATAACCTTTCTGAATGTAGCAGCACAGCAGTTGAGGACTACTGCTTTAGGTATTAACAAGCTTTGGAGTTCTAGTAAGGAAAGCCCACCAGCAACCATAAGCATTTTAAGCGCCATGTCAAGTAGATGCCCTTGAAAAAAAATGTTAATCAAGTGTTCTAGAATTATTCTGAATTCCACCTGTCCTAACTTACATTAGTATTCAGCTGCACTCATCTGACTATCTGTAAGTAGGATCATCTATCATGAACTAGAATTCAAAAGAGCTTCTGCAGCTCCCTACCACAGAAGTCATATGTCTTACCTCAATAAACTACTATGAACAATTTCTGCAACAAGGATTTGCAGTGGCAATTTTATCATTGTAAAAGCAGCATGCAGTTATTGACAACTAAAGTGAGAAGGCTAATCAAAAGAAAAAGAGACACACACCATACAGGCTCATTTTCTCCTGCTGTCCTCCTCCCTCCCTCTTCCCCAGCCCTTACCCCCAGATGCAGAGCAACCAGAATGATCACTCACCTAGTCACTAAAAATTTAGGCTTCACATGAGACCCAATGCCACCTGCATATTTTAGTGGTTTCAACTGTCTCTCTCCAGCCTGCTTTGCCACTGCTGCTGCCAGGGGGATACAGTCCTGTACACCTCTGTTTCCAGGACTGGGAAGTTTGTCTGATAAATCTAATGCAGCCAAAAGTGTCCTGTTTCTGCCACAGCTGGTTTCCCAGTCCAGCTCCACACACATCTCCTGGAAATGGAGGCACACAGGACAGTTTCAAATGGCAGCAGCAGCACCACAGCACCCCAGACAGGGTCTCATGGCACCCCAGTTGAAAAGCACAGGGCTAGACAAACACGAATGGAGAAACTCAGTGCACTGCTCCTGAACTAAACTAACACAGGCTCCAAATACCTACTTGAAGATTGTGACTGCAAAAAGCCAAACAATTCACAGAAATGACTACCTTGCTCAAAGGGAATGCCTTGCCCTCCAAACAATACTCAAATGACCCCACAGTTTTCCTCAGCCAGATTGCAATGCCATGCTTACTCTCAGACTTTTCTGTCATTTCTTTTTTGCGTTGAAGAGCATGTAAACCTAGAGTTACATCTGCTAGGTTTCACTAAAGCAAACCAGTCTCCTGGCATCCATAGGCAACGTGTAGGGTGGGGCACATGCCCCCCCACCCCGAGAGCTCTGGTACTAGCACATTTGGCGACTGGCCGCTGGGGGACCCCTGCCCCAGTCGTGCCCTGCTGGTGACCCCCCAAACTCAGGAGGCACTAACACCCATGCTGGCATCTCTTAAAATCTGGAGAAGTAAGATGCTAGGCATGAAGGTTGCAATTCGCATATTACTTCCGAGTTAACAAAGAACAAACTAACTCATCCATACAGAATGCAAAATGGAAGGGTGCTGTCCACAGGTGTCAAATGAACTGGTTTGAAAACTACAATGAGAGAGAACTGTGGAACGGTAATATGGAATACATTTGTGCTATATTATATATAGCACAAATATATTTATATGGCCAAATGATAGTGGAAATATGAAAATGTCATAGATTAGACATAAAATGCTCCACTGAAAAAAGGAATTTGTTTCTTTATCTTATTAATAAACTAAACTTGTTTGTTTAGGAGACAAGTTTTAGATGCTGAAAAAAACTAATCCTTTTTTTAGAAAAAAACTAATCCATATTCCTTTCAATGTTTCTCCAATTTAACAGCTAATCTTTTCCAGTTGTTCCATAAGGTTTCAGAATCTCCTGTATTCAGCACACTACATAATTTGCAAGGTCCTGTAGAAGCTCTGGCTGCCTCCTGGTAATTAGCCACTTTCAGGGTCAGGGAAGAGAAATGAGGGAAGATGCACTTTCTTCCATGGCCAACTTCAAGAACTCCTCTCTGTACTAGAAAGGCTGGTGTCACATCTGTTTCATGAAAACAGTGACATTATGTGGTAATCCAAAGGGGGGGGGGGGGGGGGGGGGGGGGGGAAGACACTTGGGAAGAAAGGGGGGGGGGGGGGGGAGGGAGAGGGAGAGAACTGCATGAGGTACAATTAACGTTCTGAAACCACTGACAGGATACACACAGGACAACATGATGTCCCAGGCAAACTTTAGTCATTTAAAGGCAGGAGTCAGGAACCTTTTCAGGTTGTGGGCTGGAAGGACCCAGTTCAGATCAGAGGCAGGCAGTGTGTGGGTTGGCCCTAGGAACTAGCCAACCCCTAACCTAAAAAAAAACACTGGGAGTGGGCAGAGAGAAGGATTAGGCTGCTTTTCACCTGGGATGTTAGAACTAGGCAGATTCAGAAGCCTATACTACTACTGATCAAAAGGTTAATTCTTCCACTGGATCAGGCAACGGTGGCTGCAGGTCATCCCCAGAGTAAACATCAGTAGCAACGCCTCTAAGGCTAGGGACAGACATTACACACGAACTGTTTAAGTGATCAGAAACTGGTTTAAACCTGTAACAGAGCAGATGTTCAGTGCACATAAACCAGTTTCAAAATGGCAGAAACCGCTTGGAGATCAACCTGGTTGAATGTAGTATCAGACTTAACTGATTTGAGTCAAACCAGTTTATGCAATGTCTGTTCCAGACCCCTTCCTCGCTTAACTTAAACCACAATCCCCTGGAATCTTGGCATGCTCTCGGGGCTGGGCTCTGTGCCCAGCCCCTCTGCTCCCCAGCCAGAACAGGGACAGGCAGGGTCAGGGGTCTGGACAGAGAGGGGTTTCATTCCTCCCTTCCAGTCCCACTAGCAGGGACCCAAGCCAGGTCTGCCAGGCACTCCCCTCTCACTGCTGCAGCTGCAGCCCAGCATGGCCCCTGAGGGGGCAGGGAGGGGGGAGTTATTCTCCCCTCTACCCTCACTGCCCCCAGGGGACCGCAGCCAGGTCTGCCTGCCCTGACCACCGCCAAGTGGCAGGATAAGCCCCCTCCTGTTACCTCTGGTTCCCGGCAGAGGGAAGAGGAATAACGCCTGTCCCTGCCCCCACCAAGAGGTCCTGCTGGCCAGCGTCTGGCCCTGCCAGGTGGGGGCTGGTTGGGGAGTGGGCTTCCTGGGCCAGCTTAGAGTTGGTGGCAGGCCCAAGGCCAGCAGCTGCCACCGTTGTGCCCCCTGCACTACACAGCACCCAGGGTTGCAGTTTAACAAATAGCTGTGGGATAGCCGGGGCAGGGGGCTGCTCTGTTCCCCTTGTCTGCAGCTGCTGCTGCCACTGCTACGCCACTCTGGGTAGAGGGGCAGAAGGCTTCTGCCCCGTGCGTGGAGCTCCGGCTCCAGCTCCCAGACACCTTGGAAGGTAGAAGGTGCCTGGGTGGAAAGCTTGAGTCCGGAGGCTGCAGCTGAAGCTCAAAATGAAGGGCACAAGCCATATTGCTGAAGCTCCCCCACCTACCGCAGAAGCCGTAGCTGGAGGCGAGGGGAGAAAGCCCTGCCAGGACAAGCCAGTTTCCTCTTGCCTTCTACGGTGACCCTCCCTCCCATTCCTCCTGCTCCTGAGCCACTCCCGGAGGCAGCAGTGGGGGATCTTCAGCCCCGCACGTGGAACTCCAGCGGCAGTCCCAGGACTGAAGTCTTCCACTCAGGTGCCTTCTGCTTTCCACGGAGTCCGGGAGCTGGAGCCAGAGCTCCACGCACAGGGCAGCAGCCCCCCCCCCCCCCAGAGCAGCGCAGCAGTGGCAGCTGCAAACAAATCAGATGCAACAGACCCCCACCCAGGCCAGCAGCCAGCCTGCAGCTGCTTGTTAGGCTGCAGCCCCGGATGCTGTACAGGGCAGGGGGTACAGCAATGGTGGCTGCCGGGATCAGGGGCTGGCTGCCACTTCTCAAGCTGGCCCAGGAAGCCTGCTCCCCAGGCAGCCCCGATCTGGTGGAGCCAGATGCCAGCCTGCAGGGCCCCTGGGGTGGGGACAGGAACTGGGGTTATTTTCACTCCCTCCGGCATCCCGTGGAGGGGACAGGAAGAGGCTTAGTCTGCCGCTTGGTGGCAGTCGGGGCTGGCAGACCTGGCTGCAGTCCCCTGGGGGCAGTTGGGGTAGAGGGAGGGGTAAATAACCCCCCTCCCTGCCCCCTCAGGGGCCATGCTGGCTTGCAGCTGCAGCAGCAAGTGGGGGGTACCTGGCAGACCCAGCTCCGGTCCCTGCTGATGGGACAGGGAAGGGGGAATGAAACCCCTCTCTGGCCAATTCAGCCGGACAGGCCATCCCCGCCCACCCAGGACACCTTCCCTGCAGCCGAGGGGGTGCTCTAGCTCCCACGGCTCCTGGCCTGAGCAACTACAGGCATGTGTCTGCATGTCTGTGCAGTCACAAACCGGTTCAGCCTTGCCAGGTTAGACTAACCTGCAAAGGTTGAATCAATTCAGACTCTCACTTTTTGAATGTCTGTCCCTAGCCTAGCTGCAGAACTGGCACAGGTTTGGGACAGCTCTGCCTGCTACTGTCCCCCCTCCCAGTGAAGTAACAAGGGCAAAATATGGGCAACTGCCCTGGGTGCCAACTGGGGGAGTGTGTGTGTTTGGGGGGGGGGGGGGGGGCCTTTAAAAAAGCAGCTGCTCCTTGCAGCCACATGATTACAATTGTGATTGCACTGGGAACCAGAAGTTGCTGCTGCCTTGTGCCCTGGGTGCCCAGCTGCATCCCTATACTGCTGCACCCCTCCCTCAGCAAGCATGACATCAGCCTTAGCAGGCAACAAACCAAAAGAGGTCCAGTGAGCTTCAGGGCCTTATATTAGCCTTTGTGTCCAAAAAAATCAGGGCAACTAACTGCAGCTGCACCACAATGACCTACATAAATTTTAATTTTATGGAATAAAAGTTTTCAAGGCAGTACAAGCCAAGAGCCAGTTACATCTATTTCTTTCAAAATACATTGAAGTGTTTATTTTTTGCACCCTGTCCTCTTCCAACTGATTTAAAATATTGTGAAGTCTGAACTACTCAGTTCTATGTACATACACATTAGAACAAACTAAAATTCTCCTTCCGTTAAAAACTAAATAGAAAAACATTTTTAGACAGCTTTCTGTGATAAGCTGTGTCAAGCAAGTCTACACAATATGAAGAAAGGAATTCAAAACTATAATAAAACCATAATCTTGCAAACAAGCATTCCTTTGTGTTATTTTAGCATGACTCTTTAGAATGCATCTTACTCACCGTATTGTAGAGTTTATCAAACTCAGCATATCGCCTGAAGACAAACCATTCATTTCTGCCAACTGAGACCAACACTTTGTAAACCTGTGGGAACATGAAGGCAAAGTAAATGCCAGAAAAATAGAGTTTGTTTTTCAAAGGGAAGACGGGGGTGAGTGGGAAGGGGAAATAAGGGAGAAGTTGGGCCGATTCCTCACTAAATTTATGCTCATTTCATATAAACATCCAGTCAGAAAGATCACAGGACACACATTTCATTTTTATAGGATGCAGAAACAGTCTTTTTAGAAGCGTTGTTTAAACAGAAATTAATAAAGCTGTTAAACACTAAGATTTTGTCTCATTCAGCAAGGTATCTTTAAACGTAATATTCCTTCAGGCTTACTCTGGTATAGGCCCACTGTAAAACTAAAAAAATCATGCAAAGCTCCAAAGCCTTAAAATAACAGTGGAAGACCAAGGGTGGCCTCACATCCTAGAGTGCTTCTCTTAAGGTAAAACCTATGAGGAAAATGTGCAAGCAGATTTAAAAAAAGCAAGCTTTCAATGTAAAATTAAACCACACATTTACTGAAGATGACCCTCACCAAAGGCTATTTATTTCTAGTAAGCACATTTAGAAGAAAGAAGAGTGGCTTGCCCTACAGCAACTCTGTTTCTTAAAGAAGCTGTATAGCCAGCCCACAGTATACATGCCAGAAGTGGCATGCATAGCCATTTTTTGTGGCACGTGGCAGATCAGGCATGGGCGGGATGAAGAGTAGAAGAATCAGGCAGGGAGCAAAGCGGTAGGACCAAGTGGGAAGCAGAGCAGCAGGTTGAGAAGCAGGTGAGAAGTAGATCAGGGAGGTGGTGAGAGGCAAAGCAGGACTGGGCTAGGAGCCAAGCGGCAGGTGGGGAATAAGAGATGGATCTGAAGTAAAAATATGTGGTGCCGAACGATAAGATTACGCCAAGTGAACTAAAAAGTTAAGTTTGCCAGATGACGATTAGCCTAGGATTAACACATTATAGGTCAGGGTGCTAATCACTGAGAAAGACAAGAGAAGCAACTACTCCATAGTGATGCATCTCATCATCTGACACATCCCCAACATTTCACTCGATATTCCCTCAACGTTTTTCCATTGTGGGAACTAGCTGCGTCACAAGTTCAACTCTCACTTTATCCAGCATCCAGCTGAGCATTATCACTTCATCAATTCTGGCAGCAGATTGCAAGATCCTAGTCCTCATAGAGCAAATAGAGTAAAAGACAACCTAGGTTCCAGTACTTCTTTTAACTTAGTGAAAAAACTTAGTAGCTTTAATGGTAAAGCTTGTAGAACAAAAACTATGGCAAAAGTCTGTAGTTCTATTAACATTTGGCATGTTAGCTATTTCTTGAAATTCTTTTCAGAGGTACTTGGTGATGAGCAGTCATTTTGGGAACAGTAATTCTTTAGGACTTCCTCAAATCCTAATGTTCTTGATAATCCCTCGACAATTCCTTCACAAGATTTAAGACAGAGGAATCTTTCACTACTTCATTGTTCAATTAATGGGATTTTTGCAGAGAGCTGAGCACTTCTTGAGACTCCAAGTAATATTCAATTTCCATTTATGTTAAAAGGATTTGAGAGCATTCTGCATTTAAGAATTGCCTGATCTTATGAAATAATTGACTTATGCACTGTAAAAGTTAATAAGGCATGATTCCCAGTCTTTTCCTACTGAAGTTGCTGCACAAAGTGCTTTAAAATTTCATAATATTGAAGATATGTTTAAATAAAACTAATAGTAACCTTAACATGCTTTAGAAGTTAATGCAGAGAAGATTTCAGTTTCCAATATTTGTTATTAGTTGAGATCCTTATAGGAACACACATTCAGTCGTATAGATATACATTTTAGCAGTTAGGTTTGCAAATATACTGTCATGGTCTTTTTGAAACATTAAAATTTTAAACTTTAGAGGGGAAAAATGGATGAATTCTGTTGGCTCAGTGTTATTTAAAACTGTATATATTAATTTAAAAAATAAATCAGGGTTTAGCATAAATATAAAGGATTCTGTTTTCAGAACCATGCACTGTCTTCAGTACCTTTCAAGTATTTCATTTAGTGCTTCATCTGGTGACTATTTAAAAGGAAAAGGTTCAGCATATGTTGATAAAATGTCAGTATAGAAAAATGTGGAGAGAAACAAAGCAGAGGCACACTTCTGAAATAATTAACTGAGATTTATATACTAAACTAGGCCAGAAGGATATGTATTTTGCATAGTCTCTAGCTAACTTACCAGTATTGTAATAGAATGGATTTTATTGTGTTTAATTTTTTTCTTTGAGAGAGCAGATTTGGGATTATTGCTCTGACATTTTGAAGTATTAAACATACTAAGGCATAAACTAAATGAATATTGGGTTTCTGATTGTCAACTCATGTTATCTGTCATGAGTTTATGACTCCACAACATTTCCATAATACTAGGCCCACCCTTAACTGTGCTAAAGACAACAACAAAACTACCCACACACGTGAAAAGAGAGAACAAAAGGCCAACATGTAACAAGCCTATTCAACATGTTGAGGGATTAGCAAACTGTGTGGCCCTTCAATAAAAGGAGGGGACCTAAACTGTGGATCAAGAGGATGTGGGGACAACAAATGATAGAGAAAAGGGGCAGGAGTAGGGACACTGTTTGAGAATTGGGGACTAAGTTGAGGACACAGGGCACTGCTATTGCTCTGTGAAGGAATCCAAGGCATTAGCAGACATGACCCAGCGCAACTAGGCCTGGATGGGTGAGAAACAAACTTTACAGAACACCTCCTAATTAAGCTTCCTCTTTCAGAAGTGGCCAGCCTGTGACAAGTGGCCTGAGCAGCTGCTGTGTGTGGCACACAACCCCATGCACCTCCATTCTGGTGCTCCAGGATGCAAACTCTGTCAGGTATGCCTCTGGGAGACAGAGATCAGAGTGATACTAGGGGAGAGTTGGGACTTAATTTGTGGCCTGCCAGCCAAAAAGGTTGGCCACTGTTGTAAAGTCAGTGTGCATCTCACTCTACGTATGAATGGGCCCCAAGCACCCAAGCTTGGCATCTTTTCCAAGTAGCAATACCTTTTGGGGCAGGGCATGCTCCCATATAAGGAATAAATAAGGGTGACTGCAGCACCCTATTAAAAGCCCATGAAAGCAGAGGACTGAAAAACAAAGGCTGTGTGTATCAGCCACATAGTGAGCCATAATGCCTAGAAAAAAGTTACCTTCTCTTTCTTCTTTGAACATTTTTCAGTGTGGATTCACCAGAAATAACTAGCAATCACCCAGGAAAGGAGCAAGGAGTCTCAGATGCAGAACAGACTGAAGTACTGGCTCTCCTAAGATTGACATACCAGCCTGCAGCTCAAATTCAGTACCCCAGGCTTGACAAATGTTATTGAATCATAGAAAATTAGGGTTGGAAGGGACTTCAGGAGGTCATCTAGACCAATCCCATACTCAAAGAAGGACCATCCCCAACTAGATCATCCCAGTCAAGGCTCTGTCTAGCCAGGTTTTAAAAACCTCCAAGGATGGAGTTCCACAATCTCTCTGGGTAACTGGTTCCACTGTTTTACTACACTCCTAGCGAGAAAGTTTTTCTTCATATTGAACCTAAACTTCCCTTGCTGCAGCTTGCCACCTTTGCTCTTTGTTCTGTTATCTGCTGCCACTAAGAACAGTCTAGCTCCATCCTCTTTGGAACAGCATTCCCTCTAAGCTGTGTGGTGTGTGCAGCTGCGTTCATGCCATGCTGCCAGGCACGCCTGTGCGGCCACGCACACCACACAGCTGAGAGGGAACGCTGCTTTGGAACCACCCTTCAGGTTGTCTGACCTACCCGGACTTTACCAAAACATTTTCTGATGCACATGAAAAAAAAAGGAGAAGCTAGAGAAAAAAAAAAAAAGAGTTCCACTAAAAGCATAGTTAATATTGAAGTTCCTCAAGGACCAATCTTATTTATGGACTTTTACATAAGTAGTAGCATCTTTAGAGCAAGTTTTTTTTAAACCTTTTTTAACAAGTGTACCCCTTCTGTCTCAGTTTCACCTCATGTACCCCTTTATATTTTTGTCTGGTTTTTAAAGCGGGGGGCGGGCCGCAGATCGAGGCCCTGCAGTGAGGGAAGGAGTGGGGCAGGGGTAGGCGCTGCTCAGCCGGAGTGGGGGCAGGGCATGGAACAGAGCCACAAACAGCTCATCCAGGAGGTGCAGGGAGGGGGTCCCACCGTTGTGTGCACCCCAGGACTGGGCTGGGGCTGCGCCAGGCTCTTCATGGTGTGGGCTGGGCCGGGCTACAGGAGGGGCTGCAGCCTCCCCAAAATTCACTGTAGCGCCCTCAACCCCGCCTCCCAGCGCAGTCTGGCCCAGGTGCTCACTAGAAACAGCCCAGTGCTGCCCCAGCCCCAGCCTGCAGCAGCCTGCAGCCTGCCGTGCTCCACGTACAGATCCAGGGGCATGCACCCCCACCACGCCCTCCCAGGTTGTGTGCAGTGGCAGGAGCTGCCAGCCCCACATGAGCCATTTGCGGGTTTGTCACGCACTCTGCCCTAGTTGGGCAGCATCTACCCCTACTCCAGCCCTAGTTCTAGCTTTACTCCCTCCCTCACCATGGGGGCCTACAGGAGCAGGGCTATGGGGGAATGGGACAGGGGACTGCAGCCACTCCAGAATTCTCTGTAGCCCCCCCAATTCCCCAGCCCCCCACTGGGAAGGGCCCAGTGTGGCCCTGGCCCCAGCTCACCCCACCCCACCCCACGCGCAGATCCAGGGGCACACGCCCCCCCTCACCATGTCCTCCCAGGATGCACATAATGGCAGGAGTTGCTACCACCCCCCCACCCGCGGCTCAGTCCTGCACTCCACCCCAGCTGGGCAGCCCTTGCCCCAGCCCCACTCCCTCTTCCCACAACAAACTTACCAGCTGAACCTGGCTGCTCTCCACATAGCAAGGCTGCACTCCTGGCCACCCATGTGCTGTGCTGCTGCTGCGCACACACACATACCAAGTTCTACATACCCGCTACGACCCCTTTAAGTACCCCTAGTGGTA